TATTCCGTTGGGAATCTTAGATAGCAGCAATTTATATCTATAATTCATTGTGTTTGACTAAATGATAAAGTTCAGTTACTGATGAAAATTGAGAGTGAAGTCTGACAATAGGAGGTTACTGTTAGTGTTCTGCTAGTTTTTCATTCCTTCATTACATGTTACATCACTGTAGGTACGAAAATTTATAAGGTACCTACGAAAATTCATTCCTTCATTACATGTTACATCACTGTAGTTTTTCATTCCTTCATTACATGTTCATTCCTTCATTACATGTTTTCAGTTTTTCATTACTGTTAGTGCTACCTACGAAAATTTATCCTTCATTACATGTTACATCACTGTAGGTATGCTACTACCGGTATTTGAGATTTTATCCTTCTGGAAGGTTTCTTTATAAGGTAATTGACTATACTTGTTAGATTTTATACTACATAACTATAGGAATTTTTGCTTGTTCCAACTAATTCTAACCTTTCTATCTATCCTTAGAATTCGTCACAAAAAGTGAAGGATGTGGCAAAATTTATTAACTTCCGTGCTTCAAAGGCTGATTCTGTTTTTAGTGGGAGTTATACTCTGACAGAGGATAAGGTTAGCTTTCAATTTTACATGGTACCCACCAATCAAGTCATTGTATTCTTCATTGCATTATCTGGCTAACTCTCCTATTTCTGAAAAATTTCCTGTTTGACCTTTTTTAATTGGACATCCTGATAGCATCAGTTGATTATCCTTCTTAAAGCTCATATTTTGAACACTTCTTTCTCATCTGCAGGTTGAAGCTGCTCTCTTATATCCTGGTTTGCGTCCAACTGTACTGAGAATTCGCTTGAGGTATTTTAGTTGCACACTTGCACCTAGTATTTAAGGTTTTAAAGCAAAGAAATGAATTTGACAACCCTTGTTATTTTGTTTTGTTCTCAAGCGATGTGGGCTGAATCTGTTTTATATGAAGCACTAGAGACATTTAATGCTTGGATTTATTCCTTATCCCTTTAAGCTTAGTAGCTTTTGCATTGAGCTTTCACTCATAGTTATTTGTAGCCAGGAAACTTTGCAAAAAGTTATCCTTATATGTGCACAAACCAGTTATGTATTGACTACTAACTCATCCCACCCTAGTTCACACCCTATGGTATGTGTATTTTCTATAATTTATACTCTATTCCAAAATGGTTGTTGTCTAGTTTTTGTTTCTTGAAGGTCAACACAACCTACTTTCATCAATTTTTAAAGGCATATAGCTTCAAAATTTTGATATTTTCTGATGCTTTAGACATGTAATATTATTGTTTAGATTCTTCATATCTAAATTTTACTTAAAAAAATTTATACTTGGGAATATAAAAAATGAAGTCAAATTGACCAAAAACAGTACGACAATCAAAGTGGGAAAGGAAGAGGAAAGAGGGGGGGGGGGGGGGGGTGCTTCCTTATTATAATTCCCTCCTATATCCTCCAAACCAAACATAGGATTATTAACCCAAAGTCATCAGTGCTTATCCTATCTGTAGCCATCCTCCAATCCTGAGCTTACTAACCCCGTCCTTCTACTTCCTTTGAACCAAAAAAAACCCTTAAATATCATATGATTCCAATATCCTTATGTTTCCTGAAATTTTATCTAGATACCTATAGCATTGGTCTGATATTTCATATCATTCACTACTGTTAAATATTTTGTATTTTTTAGGTTAAATATCATATATTCTCATCATCCACTTGCTTGAGTGAAATTTATTTTGGGTGAATAAGTTTCTTGTATATTATGTATCCTCATGTAATCCTTAGCTTTTTAATTACATCAATATAAAAATTTACCATTAATTTGCTGAGGAAAGGTAAAATCCTTGTATGAAATTTTGTATCATGAATCTCATTTTTGCTCAATCATTTATTACTACTTCTCATCTACAGAAAATGATACAGTGTCTTTGACCCCTAGATTCTCACAAGTTATTCATGATTTAAAAAGTATGCAAAAATCAAGATCATAGAATGAATCTGTACTATTTTCCTACAACGATTAGGGATAGTTTCCTAGTTAGATTAGGAATATCTTTGTTTATCTATACACCTGTAGTTGTTGCTTAAGAATTCAACATCCAGACAATGATTCCGTTCTGTCTACTTATCACCCATTTATGGCAAGAATTATGCCCTGGGGCCTTTGCAAAATTCTTCTCCTTAGAATGATCGTACTGCTTTTCTGCCTGCATAAAAATGCCTCTGTCCTCTTATAGTCATGGTTTCACACATTAGATAAAACCATACACATTAGATATATTACTACTAGAAGATTTTCCAAATAATTGATGAGAAATGTGTACATGTCTCACATGTATATACAATATGTATCACCTCAAGGACTTGGTTTACTGCTATCCAAGTTTCTCTATTTTATTTTACTAGAGTTATTTACCGGTTATTTTATCTTGAACAGGTTAAGGGGGACAGTGAAGGGTGCCAATAACCGGATGGATCTACTGGCACTTTTAACCAGTGGTGTGAATGATAATGAGGTTAACGTCCCTGATGAAGACATTCTTGGAGTTGTTGAGGGTTGGCAAGAGGACGAGACACATAACCCTGATGTACCAGCTATTTCACACAAAAGGGGTCTTACACCTTTTGTCTTTGTCCCGTTTGAGGAGGTTATGTTTTTTCCTTATTTTTTTTCTTCAGCAACTTATTCAAGCCATTATTATTTCTTAAATTATCAAAATATGACTGATCATGTTGTCAAGTCTATGTTTGGGTAGGAAACACTATGGAATTTAATGGGTATGAACCCATAGGGGCTCCTTAGAAAGAGTTTCCACCTTCCAGCCCCCTTGAAATGAGTTGTGTGCAGTTGTAGGGCCTTAAAATGTTTTTGCCGGTTCTAAGCAGTGGCTGTGTTGCCTTCACAAATTTTTTTTTTTTTTATTTTTCTTTTGGCGACGAGGGAAACCCCAGTCACTACCTGCGGGGGTAAACAAAGGACCACAAGTAGGTAAACCAGCCTAGGTTGCCTATAGCTGACCGGCTCAAACCAAGAGGACTGGGATTCGAACTCGTGACCTTGTGGTTACAAGTTTGTATCCTTAGCCATCTTGGCTAGGGTTACCTCATTGCCTTCACAATTTTGACACATCCTGATCATTCCTGCACCTCATTGAAGAAACGAAGAATCTATGACCTATCATTTTTTTCCCTCTCTGTGAAAAGTTGGACCGTTTTCCTTAACTTTGCTGTCTTGGAGTTTATGTTGACATTCTCTACTTCAACCTTTCCTGGTTGTAGGTCGAGACGTCAGTCCTGAATCTGTCCGTAGAAAGAATGGATTACTTCGTTCCTGGTTGAGAAGTAGAAGGTTGGAGTAAGGATTACTTCCTTGCTGGTGGAGAAGGAGAACTAGCCGGTGAAGGATTCATTGGCTGTGTGCCTGTGTTACATATTTAAGTATAAATGTATTAGTTTTTTGTTGACATATAGAAATATGTATGAAGTCATGAATGGTTGGTTAGGTATGAAGTGGTATCTTGTTTTATGATACATGTGTGAAGTGTGATGGATTCCATGTCAAGTAAGTTGTGCCATGGTCTATGTTTCTGTAAATATAATAAAATTGATTACAATTTTAGTTTCGTTTATTCGAAGATTACAAATTCAATGTATGGTGTGTGTCTTTCTGAATTTCTGGTATGAAAATATTGTAAAAGCACCGTTCTTGACTATATAATTTTGTGTAATTTAGTATCTATATTTTGAATTATATGTAATTTAGTACATGTACTTTTAAAACATGGTATAATTAAAAATAATTATTAAAATTGTTAAAATAAATTTAACTTTATTGGTATAGCATCATCACTAACAAGTAACATTTCAATATGATATGATATGTTATGCCAATTCAATTTTTATTTTATAGTTAATTTTAGGAATGGTTTCTTGATTATTAATTTTTATTATTGATTGTTATTGATTTTCAATTTGATTATAAATGGTCATTTGAATATTGATATTGTTTCATGTTTGATTTTTTGGGTAAATATTTGTTTAGTAAACGTTAAAAATTGACATGTTGCCTTTCTACACTAGGTTTATCATTAGTGAAAATGGCCAATTGGACTAGGTTATTTGATAAGTCTTTGCGCTAAAATTGAGGTGATTATATCTTTTGTTTTACCACCCATAAATATGTAAAGATGAAATTTCACAAAAAGTTTTTCGAATTTGAGGCATTACCAGCTTTGCTCCTCAATTTAAAAGCCCTCCCCCCCCCCTCCCCCTCCCCCCACAATAAGTCCTCCAACTTCTCTAAAGATATCACCAATAGTCCATTGAGGCCAGCTGTTATACAGTGAACCATGATTAAAATAATAGCATTAAAATAATAATATTAAGTATTACTGCAATAAAATTAGTGTGTGAACTGCAATGAAACTAGTGTGTGAAAAGTAAAACTAAAAAACAAGGCACATATTGTCAAATGAAATTGTATTATAATTAAAATGATACTTTAATATTGTTATAATAGAACTAATGTACGTGAAAAATGAAACTAAAATTCAGAGCCATACAATAAAATATATATTGTCAAATGACCTAAATGACAATTAAAATAATACTTTAAAATTACTATAATTAAACTAGTGTGTGAGAAAAATGAAACAATAAAACAGAGTTGAAACAATAATGCATATTATCAAATGTATAATGAAACTAGTATAAAGAGAAAATGAAATTAAAAACATAACAATATTATCAAATGAAACTGAAATGTAATTAAAATGATACATACTTTATGATTCACGTTGCTATATAGACCACGGTCCATACTCCATAGTAAAATTTGCCCGGAAAGATATGTTACAAAGCATTAATAAGTATATAGATGTGATTGGCCAAAAAAGTGGGTGGAAAAGTAAAGGAAAATAGGAGCTTAAAAACCAAGGAAAAGAGACTTTTGTTTTTGTATGTCTATGGTGCAGGAGCCTGGACCCAGGATAATTGTCGTTATTTAAAAAGAGTGAAAGAAGTGAGAAGAGAATCCTTCTACTCACTTCCTTACACACAAGGGAAATCCCGAAATGTAGAAGAAGAGGGAGTGGGAGAGAAACAGAATCTGCAAGTCAACAGTAAGCATGTCGGACTCTAAAGTGGAGACGATTTCAAGGATGGCACAATGGAGGGTTGAGAATTTCGGATCCTCAACTTACAAACGATCCGACCCGTTTAAGATTGGTATCTGGAACTGGTAATAACAAAGCTCTTTTTATTTTATGCTTCAGCTCTCTACAAGTTCATATTTCTGGCAGAGATTGGAAACTGGAAAATCGGATGATAATTTTTTTTTTTTTTCCTTTTTCAGTTGCTAATTCGATTGATAATATTGATTTGTTAGGCATTTATCAGTTGAGAAGAATCGGTATTTGTATATTCGGCTGTTTCCGGAACCTTCTCGGACGTCCAAGGAACAACCTCCGGCGGCCAAGTTTGTCCTACGTGTCACCGCTCCATCCACCAACCGCCGCCCTCTCGTCTCCCAAGGCACGTTCACTTTTCCCTTGTCTTCTTAATTCTAGTTTTAATTCCTCAACTATTGCATAATTTATTTATTTTTTTGGTTAACTTTTGTTTTTCAGTTCAAAATCAATTGGATTCTTTAGGCTTTTAATCCTTTGTTACGATTTAGTGGGTATTCAATCAGCTTCTATACATTTTGGCTTTTAAAATGATGGACTTTAGTAAATTTTAATGACTTTCATGAATCTTAACTTTTTCAAAGTCTATAAAGTCTCTTGTCACAAGTATATTTACAATTCTTATAAAAAAAATCAAATTTGGTTGCCACAAAAAGAAATATATTATAAATTTAAAAGTAATCTCATTTCGGGGCAACCTAACCAAGTTGATTAGGCTGTTAACTTGGTAACCACAAGGTTACAAGTTCAACTCTCAGCAAGAGCGGCCTTGGTTTGAGCCGGTAAGCTTTTGGCAACGAATACCAAGCACACTTCTAGGATCAAAACTGATTTTAAATTATAATGTGAGCCCTGGCTTACCTAGGTAGGTGAGCCTTGGGCAGAATGTTCATCATTCTTGACTTAAATGTTCCTAATTGCTGTTAGATGGATCATTATTGATTACAAGCAGTCAAGCGCACTTCTTGTGAAGTTCTTTGCAGAAGTTAAAACCTGCTCTTCTTTGCTCAATCAAACTAATGAATTATTAGCAGTTTGAGTATGCTTTTTGATTGGTTTCACAGACTGGCATGTACTCTTCTTAGCATGGCTTTTCCTAACCGGTTTAATGCTTTAATTGCTCATTGCAAGTTTTGATATGCATATGGTTCTTAAATATCCTTTCATAGACAAAATTTGTTGCAATATCCAACTTGCTTCATGATGCTAGAAAAAGATTATTATGAATGCTTTGTGGTTATTTTAGTTTCAAATTTGTGACAGAATCATTGCTTCACTAACTCACAAATTTAAGTCATTGCAATTGTTCATTAATATCGAGGAATGGAAAAAAGCACTAGAGTAATTGGGGATTAAAAGTCTGAAAGAAACTTTATTAATCTTCTTGGAAAGTGGTTGTGGAGGTTCGGGTTTGAAGAAATAGGCAATGGAGGAAAATCATGGCAACCATGGAATAGAAACAGAGCAATGGTGCGCTGAGATAGTGACATTCTTACACAGCACGAAGTGTGTAAACATAACAGAATTGGCTAGGATGAGTTCTCTAAATATATAATTTTAGGGTGAAAATTGGGTATTGCAGAGAGATTTGGCTTTTGGACAAACTGGCATGCTGGTCAGTCAATCCTTAAAGATAGATTTCCTCTTCTTTACATTCTTATAAAACTTCCTGATTTCTTATGTTCGTAAAATTCAAGCCATGGTGGCAGATAGCGTATTGCTTTTATGAGAGATTTTATGCAGGGAGTATTGGCTTTAGTAGAGATTTCATACTGCTGGGAGAATCGGCTATTGGACAAATTGTTCAGTTTGTCAATCCTTAAAGATTTATTTTTTGTCAACTGTTCAGTCTTGCCAAACTTCTTGATTCTTATAGTCACCAGAGTTATGTGCAATCAAGTGATGGAAAGTGACGGGATATGTTTTTTTAGGAGAGTTTGCTATTTCAATTATTGTGAAAAACAATTTTCTTGTTATGAACTTATGAAAATTATCTTAGTATAGTAAATACAGAACATGACATATCATTTTCTGTATGAGTATATGAGATAAAAGTAGGGGTGTAAATGAGCCGAGCAGCTCGCGAGCGGCTCTGTCAAAGCTCGGCTCGAGCTCGGTCAATATCGAGCTTGAACAGCTCGTTTAATAATCGAGCTCGAGCCGAGCCTAGATATTCTAGGCTCGTGGCTTGTCAAGCCGCTCGCGAGCCATATAATATATAATGGCCCTGTTTGGTAAAAAATTGGCCTATAGGCCAATTTTGGCTTATTTGACCACTATTAATTGTTTGATTTAGTTAAAACATCAATATAAATGTTTGGTTAATTAGCTTTTTGCAACTCCAAAAGGCTAAAATTAAAAAAGCTACTCCTAGCAACTTTTTCAATTAGCTTTTTGAGAAAAGAAATTATACCAAACAGCTATCAGCTAACAGCTAATTAACCAAACACTTTTCTACAATCAGCTAATGTTATCAACTATTTATACCTTCTAATTAACACAATCAGCTAACAGCAAACAGCTATCAGCTAACGGCCATTTTACCAAACAGGGCCAATATATATAATAATGATATAATATAATATAATAATAATATATAAAAATAACAATTAGAAATTAGAATTTTAAACTCAAAATCCCTAAAAGATTTCTATTATTTATGTATGGATAAAACAAAGTAGTTTGAATTTTAAACCAAAAGTATTAAATATGTCAAATTCAATGTTAAAATCGAGCTCGAACTCGAGCTCAAGATCGAGCTCGAGTTCGAACTCGAACAATCGAGCTGCTCGAGCCGAGCCTCCATTAACGAGCACGAGCTCAAGCCTACCCGTGCTCGAACTCGGCTCGGCTCGTTTACAACTTTACACCCCTAGATAAAAGTGGTTAATTCTCTGTCAAATCTTTCTATGATATCTTTTTTTTTTTTTTTTTTTTTTTTTTTTTTTTTTTTTTGTTCTGCTTCTGTTTTTAGAGAATATCAGTTTGGTGAAATGTTCACTAAGTGAGGATATTTTAGATTGAATTTGGTTGATATGAAAAAGTTGAAAGGCAAATAATTGCCTGCTCTCTATTTTATGTTTCTCTTGTTGCTTTAATGAGCTAACTGGCCAGTTGCTTTTCATGTGCATGATTACCTGTTTCTCCGTATTGCAGTTTATGAGAGAGTTCTTCGGTCAAGTGATGATTTTGTTTGGCCTATCGATTCTAACCTTCAAGGATACTTTGTTATTGATGTTGAGTTCCATGACCTAAAGATCAGCCAAAAAAATGTAAGCTAATTTCGGGACTTCTTTTTCTGCACTCGTACATTAGCTAAGAAACTTTTTAGCCTACTGACTTGAAAGGAACCTTGATAAATTGTGTGGATTCACCAATTGAGTTTCCTTGGTATTAAAGTAGTATATTAACTTTTTAGTATAAGTTAGTTCTCTTCCTAGGGAAAATTGGCCGAGAATGTTGTTGATTGGTTATTAGAAAAAATAAAAACATTCATGATTCTTTACAAGGTAGTATGTGTTCTGTACTTTATCAATCTTTTTGAGTTTAGGGTTCGATCCTGTGACCACTCATTTGGAATGGTAACAGAGGTGATGATTGTCCAAAATCCACACACACACACACATATATATATATATAGTTGAAATACTCTCGGTTTATATTTACTGTAGTCATTAAACACAGGGTGAAGGGACTTCCATATGGCCTAGTGACAGTACGATGCAGTCTTTGGCTACTCAAACCACTCTCCGGTGTCTATCTCGCTTGCTTTTAGAGTCCATACATGCTGATGTAACTATCAACACCGCTGATGGATCGCTACAAGCCCACAAGGCGATTCTTTCCGCTAGTTCTCCGGTATTCCACAGCATGTTCCTCCATGACCTAAGGGAGAAAGAGTCCTCAACTATCGACATAGAAGACATGTCAACGGATTCATGCATGGCTCTTCTGGGCTACATATATGGGACAATAAAACAGGAGGATTTCTGGAAACACCGATTAGCACTGCTAGCTGCAGCCAACAAGTACGACATGTCAGACTTGAAAGATTATTGCGAGGAAAGTTTGTTAGAAGATATTAACACGGGGAATGTCCTTGAGAGGTTGCAAGAAGCCTGGATTTACCAGCTCCATAAACTGAAGAAAGGGTGCTTGACGTATTTGCTTGATTTCGGCAAGATTTATGATGTGAAGGAGGAAATGAATAACTTCTTTAGACAGGCAGATAGAGAATTGATGCTAGAGATGTTTCAAGAAGTTCTCCAAGTTTGGAGACCTGCATAAGATTTACGGGTGTGGCTAACTATATGTATGTATATTGCTGTTTCTGTAAAACACAGGATGCTTTATGTGTTGCATGCATGCATGGTTTTCAAAATTATGAGGAAATGGTTTTGAAATATAGACCACAGGTTACTAGGTAATTTTAGAAGTGATTTTAGTGAGCTCAGAACAACTCCTATTTCACTGCTAAAAGTTAAATCCTATATATAATAAAGCTATATGGTCTTGTGAAAATTAAATGGTGATAATCAACATTTAATTTTCACAAGACCATAATAATATTGTTATTGTGAAAATTAAATGTTGATAATCAACATTTAATTTTCACAAAATCATAATAATATTGTTAATTATAATAACAACAATAATAATAATAATAATAATAATAATAATAATAATAATAATAATAATAATAATTTCCACGGACAGTTTCTAATATATATATATATATATATATATTTATTTATTTATTTATTATATTTATTTATATTTCAATTTCTACTGGCAAATTATTGTGTGAACGATGGTCCACATAATTGTATGGATCATGAATATCAAATACATTTTTAATATATTAAAAATACATTATTTTTATATTGAAAGTACCTTACATACATATATAATGTACCCTTAGTATATTTAAAATATACTTTTTATTGCATGCAACCCCAAAGTTCATAAGTTTGAAATTAATATATGGCATAGCTAGGCGGCCTAATATTTAAGATTATTGATGTGCATATTGAGGACTACGGAGACAAAGATGGGTTATTCGTGGATTCATCGGATACTATCTAACAACACTCTCCAACTTAATTGACGTGAAGTGGCTTAGTAACATTAAGATTATATTCTCATCTTTTATTGATTACACACTTAATTCGATAGTATTTGAAAGAAAAAAATCAATGTTCGAACTAAGATTGTGATTTTAGTCTTTAAAGGTCAATTGTATGTTGCTACATCTAGAGTTAGAAATCTCAAAGGTCTAAAAATTTTGATCCGTGGTGACTCTAAAATTGTCATTCAATTACTATTTGTAGTTTACTAAGTTCTTAAAAATTTGTAATATTAAATACTATATACTAAATTTTTAATATAGTTTAAGATTTGTAGTAATCACCCACCTTAAATATTATTTTAATTGTAAATATATTTATGTTCATAATTTTATCATAGGAATTCACACATAATAATTATTAAATATAGGGTATATTTTATAACATATTTTCCGTGCATCGCACGGGACAAATACTAGTAATAATAATAATAATAATAATAATAATAATAATAATAATAATAATAATCATCATCTAATAATAATAATCATAATTATTATTATTATTATTATTATATTTAAAAATATATATATAGTTCTAATTAGAATTACAATTTTTGAAGGTAATAACACGAAAATATTTAATCAAACCAAATAAGAGATACAAGGTGTGGCCGAACAGAGATTCACGATCCTAGAACAGACGAAGAACCAGTTGCATTTGCTAGCACATGAACCATATGATTCGCTGACCTCTTGACATGGTGAACAAACACGTTCCGCTGACTTCTTGACATGGTAAACAAACATGTTCCCAATATCACTACCAATATCACGACATTGCTTTACAATCAAACCCTTATACAAAAGATCTAAAGAGTGTGAATTAAAACTACTAGAATAATTAAGACAATCGAATTCAATAGTTAAATGACTAAAGAGACAAGACTTAGTTTATTAAAAAAGAAAGGAAGAAAGATTCCTTAGTTTATTTTTTGTGGTACATCGGAGGAGATTCCTTAGTTTAGGACCTTTATGGCCTGTTTGGTTCACAGAATAGGCCGAGAATGACATAGCGTTCCTAGTAATAGGTATATTCCTTTGTTTGGTAACCATTTATATTATCAGGAATAATATTCCTGGTAATAGTCTATTACCTCAAATAAGGTAATAGCTATTATTAGGGCCCCCCACTGGTATTAGTCTATTACTGAACGCTCAGGAATAGATTTTAGAATCTATTTTCTTTTTTACCTCTTTCTTTAACCTAATTTTTTTATCCTATATATAAATTTATCCTATTTCACCACCGTCGTCGCCACCACCACCACCACCATCACCGCCGCCGCCGCCACCACCACTACCACCATCGTCGCTGCCGCCACCACCACCACCGCCGCCACAACCGTCGCCGCCCCCACCACCACTGCCACAACCGTCACCGTCACCACCACCACCGTCGCTCCCACCACTGCCACTGCCACCGCCACCACCACCACTACCACCCCAGCACCACCACAACCACCGCCACCACCACCATCACCATCACCATCACCACCACCGCCACCACCACCACCACCACCACCACCACCATCACATATTTTTATAAGGGTATTTATGTCTTTTACAACATATTTCATTTCTATTCCTTAAATCAACCAAACACTGTAATATAATTCCTCAAGTCTATTCCTTCCGCGAACCAAACAATAGAATACAATTCCTATTCTATTCCATTCCTTATGGAATAACATTCCTATTACCTCAAAATTCATTCCGTGAACCAAACGTGTTGTTAATGTTTAATGTAGCAAAAGAATTATCAACAAGTTGAATTTTGGCAAATTATGCAGTGGACTCGTGTCCACAATGCATTGTGGACATGAGTCCAAAACGACGTTGTTTTCAGGAAAAATGCGTCATTTCAGTTTAAAAAAAAATTAATTTTGTCTCGCCGTTAACAGTGTTATTCGTGTGTGCTATTATGAATGTACAGTTATGTGATTATGAATGTACAGTTATGTGATTATGAATGTACAGTTATGGAATTATGAATGCAAGTTATAAAATTATGAACACATAGCTCTGACATTATGAACTTACAATTATGAACATATAGTGATAAAATTATGAACATAGAGCTCTAAAATTGTGAACATCGAGCTTTGAAAATTATAATTTTACAGTTATTGCATTATGAATGTACAGTTACGGAATTATGAATGTACGGTTATGCAATTATAAATGTACAGTTATGCAATTATGAATGTACAGTTATGAAATTATGAACATAGAGCTCTGACATTATGAACTTACAATATGAACATATAGTGATAAAATTATGAACATAGAGCTCTAAAATTATGAAATTACAGTTATTAAATTATGAATGTACAGTTACGGAATTATGAATGTACAGTTATGGAAGTATGAATGTACAGTTATGGAATTATGAACATAGAGCTCTGACATTATAAACTTACAATTATGAACATGTAGTAATAAAATTATGAACATATACTCTTATAACGAAGCGGTCTGAAATTAATTTTTTTTTTTTTTTAAAAAAGAAGAAGAAGAAGAAGATAACAGTGCCTAACGGTACTGTTACCCGTGTCCAGCAAGCATGCTGAACACGGTCCATAGCACAACGATTGTTGAATTTTGAGAGATGAATGAATGGACTAAAGTGGCAGTTGCTAATCCGTCGTTGTACGAGTTATTCTCTCAATTTTCGCAGATTATTTGTTTTTCCCCAGTTTTTGCAACCTTTTTAAATTCAGCTTTTTAGATTAAAAAATTTGACCTCAAAAGCTTGGTTATCATTTGTGAGAAACTGAAATTGAGAAACAAAATTTTATAAAATCATAATTATGGCATTCATTAATTAAAGGCATATATCTTACAATTTTTCCAAAAAAAAAAATATTGTTAGAAATGATTTGTAATAGATTTTGATGATGTAAAGATAATTGTATAAGTACTTTATACCCTTCATAATTCATTGTAGATTTAGTTAGACTTCGCAATCCAGCTGACCGGAAAGAAGCAGTCTCGCCATAAAGAAAGGCTTCGAAAGGAAGTATCTGGAAAGAAAGGCTTCGGATGGAAGCATCCGGAATAAAAGGTTTCGGAAGAAGATGTCTGGAAGAAGCTAGATTAGAAGAAAGTTAGGCTATCCGCACTCATATATGCAATCTTCTCTCACTTTTAATATGCCACATCACAAAATTTGCAATTATTTACTATTTACTCTTCTTCCATGCAATTCTCTCATTTTCCGAAAATAACCCCACTATCACACCAACTTATTAAAAAAATTATTTTTATCAATAAAGTATTAATAATAATACTAGCGCTAATGAGAATTTATGCGATGGAGATGGTGGGAGAGAAAGAAGAATTGATGTGTAGAGTAATTGACAAATATAATCCCATGAAAAAAGGACTTATTAATCAAATTTGTAATTATATAATTCTAAGGACTAAATGTGTCACACTATAAACAATTAAAAGATTAAGTTTGGTCAAATCAATTTAAAGTGGTCAAATTTCTAAAAGTAAAAATAATTCAGGGGCTAAAATGACCGTTTTCTCTCAAAAATATATAAAAGGGGAGAATTGTTGTTGCAATTCTACCCTGTCAGAATTGTAACACGCAAAAAAAAAAAAAAAAAAAAAACTAACCTTTGCAAGTGCCTCAATCACAGCGGTGCTTGGGGCCTTAAAGGGAACAGAATTGAAGGAAAGCTATTCAAGCATGAACTTCTTAGAAGATGAAAGGGTGTTTATTGCTGCTCTTCCAAGTTCGTAGGAGCTTCATTTGAAGACCTTTTAAGGAAGATTGCAATTTGTTTGGCACCTAAAAGTTTATGTATAAAATAAAATGGTGATAAGCATGATCAGCTCTTTTTTATTTTTGAAGCACTTATACACAGTCACAGATAGGGTAACAGGCATTATTCTACGGATACCCAGCTGCACAAGTTGAGAATATGGCAGCGGATTATAGGGGATTATGACAGCTTTTGGATGGCTACCATCTATTGAGTGTCAACGGGCGGATTCAAAATTTCAAGTGGACATTCACCTCTCTTCAAGTATAAAAGGAGGACTCCAAGCTCCGAAGAAAAAAATTGGTTGCTGATTAATGCTGTGTCTAAAAAAAAAAAAAAAGCCATCTCAAGTATTGAAGCGTTCAAGCTACATTTAAGTCTTCAAGGCAGAAGAGAAATCTGAATGATTTTTTCAAAGTCCGGCACTCAACAACTTATAATCATCCACATCGGAAGGAGTTAGTTGTTCGACTACTCTAACAATCAATGTGAAGTATTCTAACTCAAACATATGAGAAAATTACTCAAGATATCATTTAGAGTCTCATTTAAGATTTACTTCGGGCTACTATATTAGAATGGGCTCATAGTGTGCAAAAATGTATAATTTGGTGTTGACTTTTAAAACTAGATTGGTGAAGTCAAAAATTTCCAAGATTTGTTAGATTAAGATATGAGAGAGGGAGTTAATATATTATTTGCATTGCTTGGGGAAAAGTTTTGGTTTGGATTTTCTAAAACATGAGATTCTAAGTGGACAAGATTTGAGGATCATCAGACATTCTGATATCTTATCTTTAATTTGGCATCATCACAACTCACAAGACACGATATGAAAACATATAAACTAAACTATCATCACTACAGATCAGACGACAGAACTGCATGCCTAGCTAGCTCTTCTTAATTTTAATTGGCATCTTTTTTTTGTTCCGATCGATCCTTATGAACATCTCAACAATTAGTAGCTGGTCTTGAATGGCCTGTAAACCTTAAGATCAGTGACAACTCCGGCGAAGGACCCGACGGCGGCGGCAATGGAGATGACAAGGCAGGCGGCGCTGAGGACTTGGAAGCAGACCCATTTGGTGCTCCATTTGGGTATCTGTTTCTGAACTATATACATTTCGACGGGGAAGTAAACGGTGAGAGGCCAGAAGCCGAGGGCGCCGAGGATGCCCACGATGTCGTTGAAGAAGGGGAGGAGCATGGAGATGACGGTGGTGATGACCACGAAGACGGAGCGCCATACGAGGCGGAAGAGGTTGAGCTTGAAAGGCTTGCCGCCGGGGAAGAGGGGGATTTGGAGGTCTCTGGTTATGAGCTTGGAATCTGGGAATCGGTCTTTGGCGGTTTTCTCGACGAAGGCGAAGAGGGGCTGGCAGTAGACCTGGTAGGCGCCGACGAGGTGGATGACGATGGCGGCGTTGGCGATGTCGAGAAGCCAGAAGGGGTTGTAGAATCCGAAGCCGGTTAGGAGGTTGCCGGGGGAGCTGTCGCCGAAGGCGGCGTAGCCGAAACATCCACACAGCATGTAGAACACAGTTGTTACTGCTACGCTGATTAAGGTTGCCTTCTTCATTGTCTTGGATTCTCTTGGTGGAGATTTCACTGTGTCCTGTTTTTGCATTTAATTTGCACATTAGATCCCAGTCTTCTAGAAGCTAAGGAAATGGAAAAATTGCACTTTTTGTCCTCCAATATACATGTGGTACATATTAGTCTCTGAGTTATATGCATAATCATTCTTAAGCACGGTTACAAAAATCAATAGAGGTGGTCCCATCGAGACGCTAGTTGCTCTTAGGCCATAGTGATTTCCCCTAGGCAATCGGTCGCCTAAGCGCCTAACTCAGCCGAGTTAACTCGACTTGCAAATTTTTATTATTATTATTTTATATATATATATATATATATATATATATATATATATATGACATACACCCACACAGGAACACTATTTTTCTTTAGTTAGCTGCCTACGCCGTTTAGGCACTAAGTGCTACTCGACCGTCTAACTAGCACCTAGTGCCTATTGCAACCATGTTCTTAAGTTATGCGTAAAGTAATGATTTTAGCCAATCTGAATGACCAAATCAGCCTATTTATTAAGTGACAAATTGGAAGCAAGCATAGTATACGAAGGACTAAAATCATCATTTCACGCATAACTTATATTTTAAAATAATTATATATATAATTTAGGGGCTAAGTTTGTATCACAGATACAGTGAAAGGACTAAAAATGTAATTTTTTCGGAAGTAAATGAATAGGATAGTTAGTAATATACCTGAATTTCAATGAGGATGAGGGAATAAGAATAGGCAAAAGCTATGGCTCCAAACGCTTGAAAGCTTAACCATATCTTGTGTAGTTCAGAAACAGTACTTCCAACGCTGATTCCAGTAAGGCTTCCTTGGATTTTCCCATTTTCTGAAATTATATTAATTGTAAAAACAATACAAAAATGAATTTTATTTTTAATTTAGTAACCTTTTTTTGCTTTGTTTCTGTTGTAGTGCAGAAAAGATTGAAAAGAGTGAGAGTTGAAAAGAAACCTGCAACTTGGGCAATGCCAAGGCCAAGTCCAATGGTTGAGTAGGTGAAGGACATGACAGCAGCAACAATGGAGAGCCACCAAATCTGATCAAAATCTGGGATTTGAGAGAAGATGATCTCCACCACTCCAAATATTATCATGTAAGGATTGCTGTTTATATGGCATGGGTTCTTCCCTCCACTAGCGTGGAAACAATTCGACCTCTTGATTGCCCTTTTCATCAATTCCAATTATTAATTAATTAGCTTCCTTCAATTCTAAATTAATCAACAAATTCAATTTCATCTCATTGCATATATACTTACACCATGCTTATAGCAGAGGCAATGGTGTACCCAATTGCCACTCCAACCAGATTTGCATACTGAATTGCCCCACAAATCTTAACCTGCAATCCCCCTGAACACACACAAAACCCATATCACTTCCATACTTTAACACATCCTCAATAGTTGTAGTTTTTGAGTAGTTTTTACATGTATAATTAATAAAGAGAGATAGGAGGGAAGATAAAAAGAAAAAAAAAAACAAAAAAAAAAGATGAAAAACAAAAATAAAAAAGGAAAAAAGCGGCATTAACTCGCCCGGCTGGGCGCTATGTTGCGCTTCACGCGACCAGGGCACGAAATGTTGTTTTCCTTAGTGGGTCCCACATTTCTAATAAAAATCAATGTTTTGCGGCGTGATTTTTCTCTCTCTCCTCCATATAAGTCTTGTTTTCTCAAAAATCACACCAAAATGCATTGATGAGGATGCACTTACAATACCAGAATCTGGCTTGGCAAATTATACTCTGAACCATGATCCACATTGCAATATAAATCATGAATAAATGTTCATTTTTAATATATTAAAAGATTATTTGTGTACTAACTTTAGTATACTTTTGAAAAATAAACATTCAATATATTAGATGGAAGGAGTGAAATAGCATACCAAGATTGGAGCGGACGGCGTCCATGTAGGTGTAGTTTCTCTTGCCGGTGACAGGGTCGCCGGAACGGTAACATTCGGAGAGAAGAACGGAGGTGTAATAGGTGACGATAGAGAACAAGATCATCATAGTTGGACCAGCAATCCATCCCAACTGTGCCACGGCCCATGCTAAGGACAAAACTCCCGAACCTATAACAGCCGTTATTATGTGTGCACTAGCCGTCCAAACACTCCCTATAACAATCCGTCCAAAATAAATAAACACATAAATTAAATTAGCATAAAATGAAGTCCGTGTGAAAATTACATTTCTACCCACGCTCAATTCTTTAATCATGCCTCAGTCAAAGCTAAGGACCGTAGATAGAATACCATGCTTATCTTATCAACGTAACCTCAATAATAATAATAATAATAATAATAATAATAATAATAATAATAATAATGAAAATAGTTAAAATAAGCTATCAAACTATATGCAAAACATTAATTAAACAATTAAATTATTAAAAATTTCAATGAGACAGATCAACTCATTAAATTGATGTAATTAAATCAATTAGCCAATTAACAAAAAGTAACGACATAAAATGTGTTGACGTGCCATTTTTATTTAAATAACTAAATTAAAAATAAGAATATTTTTGCAAGTCATGACTTTTTTGTCTAGATTTGAACAAAATAACTCGTCGACTTCTCAATTGAAAACTAATAATTTTTCTTATTTAAAAAAAAAAAAAAAAATCAGCACCAACTAAGATTCCATGACACTCTTTACCGATTTTTACTTGGACTTTATAAATTAATTAACTCTATTAATTAATTGTATCTATTTGACAAACTGAAAAGTCTGATTGAAACTTTTTATAGTTTAGGTGTAAATAATAATTTTTAAATCAAATGGTTTATTGAGGATTGAAACCGTGACATTTGCCTAAACAGTATTATTTGAAATACAAGTTTTCTACCAAACGGATGGATATATAAATATATAATGTTACTAAACATTCAACCAATTGTCCAATTAATACCTTAATTGATTATTTAACATTTGTTTCTTTCAAAAATATGGATGAATATAACGTTACTAAATACTGAATACGAAGATGAGTTTGAAATACACGTTCATTAAATTTGAACGTGATGTTCATCGAATTTATGCAGCTAAGATATGGTAGAAATTAAATCCAGTAAGGAAGAAGCAGAGTGTTAGTTACCAGTTCTCTTGAGACGGCCGTCGTCGTCGAAGCATTTGGAGTCGCCGGCGCGCGACTGAGCGTCGACGTTGATCGAGAAATCGAGCACTTGCCGGTGATAATTCTGGTGCTTGGCCGCCGCCGACGAGTTATCTCCCATCTTCAATTTCCAGAAAGAAGAAACAGGAGAATAAGTAGAAATACTTGATCGAGCTCAGGAGTCAGGAGTATATATGGCAGCCAATTCAATTCAATTCAATTCAAACAGCGTATAAGTTTTGTTATAACACTGGACCACTACTCTCTCTCTCTCTCTCTCTGGTTTTGCTAATGAGGCTTTAAACTAATCTGACACAGATTTGTCGATGAATTTTGCAGAAACGCAAATGAATGCGTTGTCGATGATTATCTATATGCGCTCAGAACAGTACAGTGGAGAAAGGTCAAACGAGAAAAATAAACAAAAAGCTCAGCTCGTGGGGGCTTTTTGCAGGCAGGCCTCTGATCTGCTTCTTCTTCTGCTTGCAGGGGGAATTGAGAAGAAGGTGAGATTATATAAGCATTGGAATAGCTGAAATTTTGTAATGGACCACATCACCACACCAAGCATTTTCCTTTAATGAATATTTTGTTGGCCCACAACAACTAAACTTCAGCGTTTATACTGTTAAAATAAATGCCAATTTATATTCATGTATCAGAGGGTCTACGTGCATTTGAAATGACGAGATACAGGATTTCATAATACTAGACACAAAAAAATCATAACACAAGACACATATGTTATATATTTACTTATTTTTCAAATCTGATTTAAGTATATAATTTGTGTACATAGACACAGAATTTCACAACACAAGACATAAATTTATAATATAAAACACAATTACTAATTTGTTTCATGTACATAATTCATACTTTTAAGATATAGAATTTCATAACACAAGATATATACACATGTACTAGGATCCACAGTGCATTATGAACCTTGATCAGTAATACAAGGATTGTAAAAAAAAAAAAAAAGTTTTATAGTACCGTATGGTATATGATATTAAAAAAAAAAACATGTATTTAATGTTTGTCCTTTTGATTGTGCTGTCAGTCTTATTTATTGTGTACAATTTTGATTTTTTTTTATAAAAAAAAATTCAGTACTTACTTTTTTTATGTTTTATTTTTGGAAAATATTATATGTAATCTCATTCTCTATTTCCAATTTTTATTCACACACAAGATCTTGATGTAGACACTTGTATTGTGATCCATATAAAAAAATTAGTTTATCAGTACCAATCACATTAGAGAGTAAAATTTAAAGAGTAAGATTTGTAAAGAGAATGAAGTGAAAAGATTTTTAAAATCAAAGAATTAAAAGTAAACAATTTTTTTTTAAGTGTAGTATAAGAAGTAAAAATATGAATGATTGTGGTTGAATTCCAATTTTGAACTGCTAGTTTTAGGTTTCATGTTTCAGAAATAAAAATCAAAACCAGAACCTTGAACCGGTGATTTTGGTTCCAACTGCACGTTAGAATTTTTATTTAAGCTTCTTAATTTCTATTTTTGAAATTATTAAAGTTCTGAGCTATTTTTCTCTGGCATAATTAATCCATGACAATGACATAATTCTGGCAACTAATTGTGTGGCTAACTAGCTACCAAATGACTAATTCGTGTTTAAAAGACGGAAATAATGCACTTTTCTACATGCTTTGTGCTACCTAAATTGATTTTGTTTTTGGGGAACTTTATAACCACAAATAATACTGGAATATAATAATAATAATAATAATAATAATAATAATAATAATAATAATAACAACTAAGCATGCATGCTAAATTTAGGTCAGATTCTCAATTTCTCAGCTCGCTGACTTAGGTTACAAAAGGCTATAAAAATTGTATTTTATAAAATATTATATAATATGGAGTATATTATTGCATTGTTAATTATTACGTACTTTCAAAATATAGAATATGCTGATATTATAATAATCAACCCTAAATGATTAGCTAATATATTACTCCTATTTTTTTTTTAAAAAAAATATTTCTTAAAAAATACGCAATAATTTTGTGAAAGGATGAAAACAAATATATTCCGTCCATTGTTTATCTGAAAGAAGCGGCGGCACGTGACGAGAAAACAAGTTGGGGAGACGCGTTAGTCAAACTCAAACACCACCAAAAGCGAATACAAATTTGGCCAAAGACCCTTGTGGACCCCACCTCTAGGTACGTGGATTGACTCCTCACTCCATAATATATTTATTTATTTTTAAAAACAATTTTTATATATTTATAAATTAATAGTCAAAATTGTGTCCTCAAAAATATTATATTTTCATGGGTAAGGCTATCCTTATTCCAAAAATTTCTCTCACTTTCTAAAATGGGTCTCACTTCCACATCATCAATTTTGTATATAATAAAATAATATTAAAAGAAATAATAAAAATAAAAAAAGACATAAAAAGTTGTGCAGTTGTCCTTTTGCAGCTTTTTCTTTCATTAGCAAATTCTCTCTCCTATTTCTATTTTAGCAATTCTCTCTCCAATTTCAATACACATCAGCATCAAAAAAGAATAAAAAATGTATTATCTCTCTTCCATGTCATTTAGAAAGGGGTAAAATTTTTGGGATGGGGTTAGTCTTACATTTTTCAGTATAAGTATTAAATTTTCATATTGACTGATGACCCAACCCGATCCGCAACAGACCCGATCTCACACAAGTGTGACCCATTTTATTTACATTAGAATAACACACATTTAAATAAAAAGAGTTGAATGTGAGAAACAAATAAAAGTTGGAGAAGTAGTGAAAGAATATTTAAATATTATTTTCTTTTGATTTATGAAAAAATCTATCATCACTATTTGAAGAAACACTTTAAGTGAAATATTTTTTGTGAGTTGTGAATCGAGCTAATAAAAAATTATTTTCAGTTGCCGTATAAACGCCGTTACTATGTAGGCCTATTGCCACTATGTTAAGCCTATGTTACTATGTACGCCTATTGTTATATATGTGACTGAAAATTATTTGCTTTCTATTTTCATATGAACATTTCTGTTGTAACATCTACGTCGGTGAAATATAAGTCATGCGATTTTTTATTTTTATTTGTTTGTCTCTTTTATCTTTTCAAACATGATTTAAAAAGTAAAATAACTTTCCTAATTTTGTCTTTTGTAAAAGATGGATTGGGGGCCTACATATGAGGGTTAAAAGGAATTAAAATAAATTAGAAAGAAAATGTAAAAAGTTAAGTAGCTTTTAAATTAGGAAAACGAATATTATTTTTAGGTAAATTAAAGAGTGAAAAATATCAAGTATTATGAGATGTACTTCGTATTTTTTATATTGGGGTCGTTTTACATATTATGATAGTTGTTAGCTGATTGGGTTAGTAGATTTAACTAGTTGATAGCATTAGCTGATTATAGAAAGATGTTTGGTAAATTGGTTGTTAGCTGATAGCTGATTACATGCAAAATTACTTTCTCAAAAAACTACTTTGAGCAGTTCTTTAAATTTTAGCATTTTGAAGCAATAAACTGTTACAAAAAATTAATTAATCAAACACTTATATTTAACCAATTCAAACCTCCAATAGTGGTCAAATAAATCAAAATTGACTGATAAACTAACTATTTTACCAAAAATGACATAAATATGATAAAATACTTGTTAAAAATGTAAAATATTAAACGCTAATTAGATAAGGGTTTTGCTTGTATATAAGTATAACATAAGATATTTACACCTAAACACAATAAAAAATTCATTCCGACATATCATAAAAAAGGACAATATAATTAAAAGTGTTAAATTAAAGAACTAAACAAGATCGATATCGTACCATCTATATTCTCTCCTTTCTCTTCTTCGAGTACAAGAAACAAATATAATAAGTAGATATATGGTGATTAGTGAGTGAACAGTTTTGTGGCTCACTTTGTAGAAATATCTTGGGATTATATAGCAGTGCAAAAAATAATTAAAAATAAAATATCTTAAAAGACTAAGAACCTTTGAATAAAAAAAGGAAATCATATTCTCATAAAATTAATTGCTTCTCATCCATTGTTTGTGAATAGAATAAGGTTCCTTTGCCATCAATAATAATTCCCAGAAATAATTGCAGTCAAGTGTATAAGTACAAGTCTACAAGAGCCCGTAATTGTCAGTCAGACATGATATGCTGCTTGTTCAAAAAGTTTTGGAATATAATATATAATCTCAAAAATAATAGTATTGCCTCTTTCCTATCCCTAAAAATTTATTTGGAAACCGACCAAATATCTTAAGAAGATCAGAATAAATTAAGATATTAAGGTCCTGTTTGATAAAATATTTAACCTATCAGTCAATTTTATTTTGTTTAATTACTATTAGCTGTTTGACTTCGTTAGACAACCAATAAAGTGTTTGATTAATTTGCCTTTTGTAACAATTTATTTCTCCAAAACACTAAAAATTCAAAAAGCTGCTCGAATCATTTTTTTCGATCAACCTTTTGAGAAAGTCATTTTGTATGTAATCAACTATCAGCTAACAGTTAATTCATCAAAATCTCTCTACAATTAATCAGCTAATGTTATCGACTAGTTAAATTCACTAACCCAATCAGCTAACAGCTATTTACCAAACACCCCTAAAAATTTTGTCTAACTTTTTTTTTTTTTTTGTGAGTATATATACAAGTGACTTGATCGATTAGGTTTGTACTGTTATAAGCAATAAGATGTCTCTTACAAAATAATTATAGCAAAAGTCACGATCACAACTTAAGGGATACATTAATCCTCTTTCACACACAAACACCTTGTGCTCCAGGATTTTAGTATTAGAATTTTGTATCTCTTAAAAGAATTGAATGTACAACTTTGTTCCCTAACTTAGGTATTTGGAAAATATGTAAGCTCAATGACTTAACCTAAAATCTTGGAAATAAAGGATTAAGTACTACTAAAAATCTAAAATGAATTGGTTTTTCCACATACAAAGTTAATTTTTTGTATCAAAAATGCCATTTTGACATATTTGGCACATATATAGTGATATGTGTATAATTGTCTATATGTTTTTATTCCTTACTTGGACACATTTTAGTTGATAAATGCTTTGAGTTCATGCAAAATGTGCCTTAACTATGTTGTTTACACCTTTAGTTTCATATATTTATGATTTGGAAAACCAAGACAAAAATGGAGCAAAAGAGTGTTGAGTTGTATGTACGTAATTCCTACTCAACATGACCACTGCCTGGTATCTTGATCGTATATTAGCTTAAAAATGTTTAAATTGAGTAATTCATGTGTCATTGGAATCTCAACTCAAAGAACTAACACTTTCATGAATATCATCAAACCTAATTCTAATGTTAAAATAATAAAAAATGATGAGGAAAGAGATTTTGTTAGGAAGGATGAACGTCCCTGAGACAATCATGGATGCTCTACTTTTTTTTTTTTTCAAGTTAAATTGTATTATATGCCAGGTGATCGACATGCATGTGTTCATCAGGTTGTCCATGAGCTCATCCCAGT